TTATGGTCAAAGCATTCCTAGTCAACCTAGAGGGCAATTAGTAGGAACACAGTAGATGCTAAAAAAAGATAATTTGGAATAATTTCACCCCCCCTTTTTATCCTCACCCAGGGATATGTTTACTGATTTTAAGGAGATAGAGAGAGAGATAGAGGGAAAGGGAGAGGGAGAGGGAGAGGGAGAGGGAGAGGGAGAGAGAGAGAGAGAGAGAGAGAGAGAGAAGAGAACCATCCACACATGCCCCAACTGGGGATCAAACCCACAACCTAGGTAAGTGCCCTGACAGGGAATTGAACCTGCAGCCTTTTGATGTACAGGGCGGCACTCCAACCAACTGAGCCACCTGACCAAGGCTTTTTCCCTTTTGATTAGAGTTTGCAAATATAACTGTCAGCTAGTTACTCTGGTGAGGCTATGAGTCAGTCCTCCTCCAAGTAATATAAACTTCCTAATTTAGTCTTTGGTCTATAAATCTACAGTAACACTGCCAGTGTTTTGATGTTATCCGTATCTTTATCTTCCTTTGCTCCACACTATCATAGATTTTATCTTTTCATTGCCTACTGTAATTTGTTGCTGGAAAAACAGTTGCTAGTAAGTAATATGCTGAAAGATGATGATTATCTGAAAGGATGGGGGTAAGATCCCCATGATGTAGTGTGTGTATGAGCAAATAAAGGAATATGTGTGCCATGTTCATGCAAATAATATGACAGGTCTGAGGGCAATCCTGTGACCTGCTGGAGGTCAAGGATTGTGTATGTTCATTGTTACATCACTAGTATTTAACACTGTCCCAAAACATAGAAAATATTTAAGCAGCATTTGCTGCATTAATAAATGAAGAATTCTAGTGCTCCATGTTCCCACTGGCAAAACAAGGCTTCTGGGTTAAAAATGAGGTTGGAAGGTCCATCTACCACAATCTGCTATGCATTTAGTGTTGATGGGAGATTTCTATGTATACAGCATCATGCTAGGAGTTGTGAGAAAGGCAAGGAAATTGAATACAGGGACGGGGGCTGGAGGCCTGGGTGAAAGAGGTGAAGGGATTAAGAAGTACAAATTGGTAGCTACAAAACAGTCCCGAGGATGTACTAGTAAAGTAAAGAATAGGGAATATAGTTCATAAAATTGCGATAACTCTGTATGGTGCCAGCTGGGGTACTGGAAATATCGAGGGAACACTATGTGAAGTATATGATTGTCTAACCACTAAGCTGTACACCTGAAACCAAGACAAAATAAAATTAAAAGGAAAAAAGTAAGACTGAAAAATCTTTCAGAAAAAAAATAATAAAGAAAATTGAATACACAGAACTTGGACTGGAAGTGTCCGGTCTAGTGGAGGAGACAAGATATATACAAGTGAAAAGTTAACTCCTAATTCTAGAGTGAATAATGGCATGCCAAAGGTAATTTTTCATACCAAATACAACCACTACATGATTTCAGAGAAGAGAGAGGCTGCTGAGGACTGGAGTCATTAAGGAAAGCTACATAAACAAGGCAGGGATTGAGTTAGACCTTGGAGAATAAAAGAGGGGAAGGGAAGGAAATCACAGTCTGGAAGGGGAAGGCTGGAGAGTACAAATGAACAGTCATCAAGATAAGAATAGATAGTTTGAGACTTAAAATGAAGGAAGCAGTCATCAGACTTGGAAAAATAGAGATGATGACAGAAACATATAGAATAAGGAAGTAGCTAAGTATGTGCATTTTGTATGATAATCATTTCATACCTAAACTCCTTGGTGAAAAAAAAAAGTAACTTTGAAACTTATATACATTGTATATGTTGCAAACTTGGGCAAAATAGGTGGGATGTCAGAGGACCAGGAGGCTGCATTCCCAGAGGCTAGCGAGTAGCAGGCACACATGCCTAACTGGGAGGGAGCTGATGTACCACTCGAAGGGGCTGCACAGGTAGAGTGAGGGCCTGCGTAAGTCTTTTGACAAAGGATGCTGTGTGGAAAGGGTTTACGATTGCAACATAGATTTGACTTTCCCCAAATTTTACGTGACCTGATGCACTTTTGTAGCTATTCATTGATTATATCAATTTTCATTTATCTTATATATTTAAGGATACAGAAGGGTCAAGGCTGTATGTACACCTGTTCTGCAAACCAGAACCAGATACTTAAAGACAAAGTTTGAAATTTTGCTTTTCAGATTCACACATCAATAAAATCAAGGATAAGGATAAGAGACCAAAGGAGAAGCCATAATTGACAGATATTTAAAAATAAATGGGGATCCTTCTTTTCTAACCATGTCTAGAAATGGATGTAAGAAATCTTTATTAACGTTAATCATAGCAATGTAGATAAACCATCTGTATATTGTGTTTGTGTGTGAGAGTATGTAGAACAGAATAAGCAAAAAATTTTGTTAAAGCTTTTAAGAAATACTTTGAAAGTTACTTACATGGACCCTTTAAAACTCCCATTCATTAATGGAATACTGATTAAATAAAAAATTAACTCTTGAGAATGTCTCCTAGGTAAAGTATATCTATGCATGGATCTACTACTAGGATGCTTTAACGAATGTTAATTATAGCCTTTTGATGTCTGTACTGCGTGGCTCTAAAAAGCTAATAAGACCTGCACTACATCATAGTTAATAGAAGTGTGGTGCTTGTTGCTTAGGCAACAGGATGAATAAATGCAGGTCAGAATGTGCTTCAAGAAAAACAAAAGCTAGACTATGATACCGAGTAGAGACTGAGCTGATCTAACGGATTTTTCCCTACATTAATGAAATCTGTTTCTTAAAATGGCCTGAGCATATCAGTGTACTTTAACTAAGTTCATAATGAAAGAAATTAGATTATGGAGATTGAGAAATAATTTTTATAAAGGCAGAAATTGATTTTTTATGATAGTAGTAGCAAATAAATGATTGATAGCAGCATTTAAAGCAATAATTGATGACAACCATTTTATGATTTGCTTCCTTTTCATAATTAACTAATTCCTCTAAATGATAATTCAAAGCTTTTAAAATTGATTCTGTCCCATGAAGAAAGTATTTGACTGACTTTTCTGAATTAACCATGTTTTCTTAATTTCTGGAAAATTTTACACAATCCTGGGAATACTTAGAATTGAAAAAAATAAAGACAATAATCTATGGAGGAGATCAGACCTTGGTTTTGTTATGTAGGTACAGGGTTTTTGCCTTCCAGATGCATTTTGGAGTGCTCATACATATTTCATTCATGAATGTTTTTACGATCTCCAAATGCTTATTTGAAACCTGTTTGATTAACCTTTCAGTTCCAGGCTTTCAAAGGGGGATTATATTTGCTGAAAAGTGTTTAAAATTCAGGGGAAAATTATGCTGAATTAAAATCTTTCAAAGCAGCCAAATATTCCAGAGAACCCAAAAACCTACCTCACTTCTCATGGGACCAGAATAAATTTGGACGAGAGTTTGAGGAGTAGGAATGAGAAAGTCTTATCTCAAGTAGAGAGAGGGAGAAAGCATACTTGTCAAAATGTGCAGTAAACATAAGTAATGATGCAAAGATTTTTATTCTGTTTGATAGTCCCTCTAGTTCTTGGTGTCATCTGTGTAGTGTCCTAAATCTGGTCAGTATCCTAAGACTCTCAGAACAATTGAAAAAATTTCACTTTTTCCCCCCTATTTTAATACCCACAATATCGTTCCTGTCTAATTAGTGTTGGTATTCTTAAACATGAGAAAAATGCAGTAGCTACACATCTCATTGCAAAAAAAAAAAATAGGTTCATAAGGAGTTCATTGTATACAATTACCTAGAGCTCATATGTTTTGATGCATTTAGTAGCTTTTTATAAAAAGCTCATGGGGCATACACCTTTTTTGGAGAAGAGGCAGAAGTTGAACAATTTGAATGATTTTCAAATCTGTAATAATAGTCAAGTCAGGCTTGGAGAAAAAGAATCTCCAATGGAGATAAAAAGACATAACTAGCTCTCCGTGTTTTGTTATCAGTTCTGGTGTTAATAAGCCTCAGGTGTCGGCTCCAGCAATTTATTTAGAAATAGCTATTCATTAGTCCTACATTTGCGTGCTACATGCCTATGTTATGAAGCTCTCTCTCTCTGAATTTAGGGATAGGCAATATGTGTGATGGGACCTTAAAAGCAAGGTAAGGTAATAAGGACGGTGACGTAGCTTAACAAGGGAAAGTGATGAGCACTGAGGGAGGCGTGTGAATGATTAGAAAGCTGGATCGCCCGTCTGCACCTCTCCCTCTCCTCCTTCCTCACCTCTATTCACCACCGTGAGAAGTTCGCACACACCGCACCGGGTTTAGACTGCATGCAGACCAGTATTCAGAAGTACATGCATGTGCTCAGCCCATTAGCCTCTCCTGAATATTGACAGCTAACTGATGCAAGTGTTTGTTTTTCCCTAAAGTAACAAACAATCACTTCCATGCTCCTCAGTCAGCACGTGTAAGTAAGTGAATGCTTTCCAGAATGGACCGTCTGAAACAGTTTGCTAAGGAACTAAAGGTCGTTCCATAACACAACTTAAACAATGATCAGGAAACAAATGATCTTCACACTGTAAACATAACACGTTGTCCACTGAATCCCTAACTGCTGATGCTCACACGAAATCCTATGTCTTTAGGCACCCAGAATCCACTGAAGAGGGGCTGATCGACCCCGGGGAATTCAGAAACTACAAATTTATAAAAATCACACAAAGAATGGAAGGGAGGACACAAATGTTCATCTCCTCTCGCTGCCTATAAATAGTCCTGTCACCGGTTCATTCATATCAGACACACGCACATGGACGCCTCTCGATCTCATTTCTCAGCAAGTGTCTCTATGTACACAGTAAGTTCAGCCCTGAGGGCATCCCCTTTCCCGATGCCGCTACAGATATAAAACTGACCGGTTTTGGTGCAAATCGGGCTGCTTCTGAGCCATGTCAGACACATGAGAAGCAAAGACAGACAAAAGGCAGCTCTGTGGGCACAGAGAGCGTCTTACCATAAACTGCACATTGTCAAATCCATTAGCCATCAGGTGGTTCTCGTACTGAGGTAGCCCAATGCTTTCCAACCATTGTCCCACTGTTTGAACGGGGCATCTGGGTCCTGTAAGAGGATGAAGAGGGAAGCGTTTAAGCAGGGAGTAGCCGTCCACGGGGTAATAGCGGTAGTCCTGGGCTGAGAGGTGGCATTGCCACATCATGCTCCTGGGAAAGTTGCTATCAAAGGAGCCCGCCAGCTTGACAGATTAGCGTTCCCGGCGCGCGAGAGAGCAAAGTCAGAAGTAACACATAGTTTGCCAGGCAGGCTGTGGAGTCTGACTTGATCCTAGCTCCACATTTCTCACATATTAATCTTTACTACCGACCAGGACGTCATACAGCCCCCAGAACCAGGCAGCGGTAGAAGGCATAGCAAGCTGTCGGCCGAGGCTGGTCTGCGTGCTATGTGATTGTTGGAGTACTCCACAATGAGCAGTGCACGGCCAGCAGCCAGAATTCTCTTTATCAAGTACTCCTACACTCATCAGTATGCAGCTCCATGCTCCCTGCTCCCCCTCGCTCGCTCCCCTTCATTACCCAGCCCAGGCTACACCTCGCATTTTCAATAATAGCCATCAGATAAGGCAGATTTTTTTTTTTTGTCTGCAAGCTGTAAGCTGCTTCCTCCTACACACCCATCCAAGCGTCAATCTTGAATGATGAGAGCAGTCAAAACAAATGCAGAAAATAGCAAGATTCAAAAGCAAACCAAAGCGCTTAAATCTGAATTGCATCTTCATACCGGTTATACATTACAGAGCTATTTGTTGTGGAATTTTACGCTTCAAAAGACACCAGGAAATGCAAAGCTTTAACCATAGCTGTTAGCAGAGCTCACGACAGGTTCCCTTTCTCCTTTTCTTCCCTTCCCTTTCTTCTTCTTAAAATGCAGCCGAGATAAATGTTTCTGATCTAAAGCTTTACAATGTGTGGAGAATCATTATTCTCTTTCTTTCACAGGCTATATATATAAAGGAACATCTCTGAGATTCCTTTTTCATTTTGAATTACTGTAACATACAGAAACTGCATCGCAATCTCGAAGTCAAGATAATTCGTTTCTTGTTTGCATGGCTCCTTCTAAACAAAAATATTATTTGGCATAAGAAATCCTTTTCCCCTCTGATAATTTATAACCCGGTCTACCAGGGTTATCATCCTAAATGTGCTGTAAAGGTAACATTACTGGGTAGAATTGTTTAATAAAGAAGAGGAGCCCTCACCAAAAATAATTCAAGAATAACAGATGTAAATGTGTGAGTTTTACTGAATGGCAGACAGATTGAGTAATTTATTTAATAATTGAGAGAAACGAGAGATTAATAATAGAACCCAGAGGACTAGATCATCAGAAAGAACAGACTCTTACTTAAGACTGGGAAAGAACTCGCAGAAAGGCAGGTCTCACCTCCCCCTTACCACAAGAACCCCTTGTCACAGTGTTCCTGGGAGACCATCATCTAATTTATGCTTGAATACTGCCTGTAACGGAGCCCTCACTACTTATCAAGAGGACTCCATTTATTAGAAAGCTATTTTACTTCCTACCTGACTCTACCCACTGGCTCCAGCTCTGCCTTTGGAGTCCCCACAGATTGGGAACAGTGTGTTTTAAAAATTAAAGATAACTCTCCCCTCCCCTTCCCCCACCCAGAACAGTGCTCGGCACATAGTAGGTGCTCAATAAATATTTACGGAATAAATGAAATATCATTTTCCTTCTTTCCCAAACTTTATCTTTCTCTGTTTCCTTTATCTTTTTAAGAACATTGTCAACCTCCCTGACACACAGACATTAAACCTCAAAGCACCTAGCACACTTTCTCTTTCGCTGCGGACACCAGTCCCCAAGTTCCCACCATCCCTCACCACAGTGTCTCTGGCCTCTGCTCCCTTGATTCTTTTTCCTGTCTCACGTGTATGGAACTTTTATTGACTTTAATTCTGTGATCTTAGTTCAGGCCACCTGACCCATGCAACAGTGGCTTCTACATGGGTCTTTCTACCTCTAATATTTTAAAAATCTATTTTATGTGTGAGTGTCAGAATAAGTTCTCTAAGATACTGTTTTGATAATTACTTCCTTTCCCAAAACTCTTCCTAGGTTTTCAGTTGGCTTCAAAATAAACTCTCAACTTCTTTGATAATATTTTGGGGCATCTTTATGATCGATGACAAATAAACCACCTTGATTTCCCTTTCCCCGGGGTTCCAGTCAGGTGGGATTACTGGCTGGTCTCTGAAGGCAGCCTATAACAGACTTCAGTTGGTTTTATTCTGTTCCCACATTTCTGTCCCTTCATTGGTTTTGAATCAGATGACACTTCCCTTGTGAAATCTTTTCTAATCCCCTAACAGGAATGAATCTCTTCCTTATCTGCCTTAAGTGGCATTTTTAGGCTCTTTATTAGAATAACTATTTTCTGTCTAACATTATAGCTATTAGCATACAAGACTTATTTCTTGAATGTAGGAATGTTCTTCCTAATATTGCACGTAGTAAGGAAGCAGTATGCATCTGCTAAACCAAATAATGTAACTCTCATTTCACATAAAATCCTCCTAGTTTTGATTTAAAATTCTATTTTCATTTTGAAATCTTTTCCAAGTATCTGAATTCTTTATAAAAGAAGATAGTTGGGTTTCTAAATAGAATTTTCAGGTGAATTTTTATCATCCTCATCCTCTCTTTTACTCTATTAGAATTTATCCCTGATTGCTTCTAGACCTTTCAAGAAAGTCAAAAAGTTTGTAGCATTCTAGAAATAAATTTTAAGAGATTCTGGTTGCTCAACATTAATTGTATGAGAACTTAAAAACAAAACACTCTTTGTCCTTGGACAGCTCTAAAGCTGGTATGAGGTGGAGTAAAATTGAGTATTAATTGCCATCTTTCCTAGGGTCACAACCATATTGTTCCTCCTGATTATTTAAACTTAGTAGGTCAATAAGCTACACAAAAAGTGAGAAAACACTGCAATACTGTTTTGGCTTGGTAAGACATATGCTGACTGACCAGGTTCTCAAATCCAATCTCGTCTCTCTTTTTTAAAAAGTATTTTTGATTTCAGAGAGGAAGGGAAAGGAGGAGAGAGGCAGAAACATCAATGATGAGAGAGAATCATTGATCGGCTGCCTCTGATCTGCTGCCTACTGGGGATTGAGCCCTCAACCCAGGCATATGCCCTTGACTGGAATTGAACCCGGGACCCTTCAGTCTGCAGACCAACACTCTATCCACTGAACCAAACCAGCTAGGGCTCTCATCTCTTAAGATGTGTGCCAGGGCTAAAATACAGGGAAGAATGCCACATACATTACAGGCATTAAATCATCTTTGTTAAAGGAATGAGTGACAGTAGAAATGATTTTCATGGTATTTTCATGAAAAGAAAATAGAAAGTCTATCTATCTATCTATCTATCTATCTATCTATCTATCTATCGAGGTGGGTTTTTTTCCACGGGCCAGACTGTTATATAAACACAGTCTTCGAAAATTATTATACAGACCGATTGAATTTTATTCTTTTAACTGTTCAATCATTCAATTTCTACTCAGTGATTCTCATATGTTGGTAAAAGATTATAATGCAGGAGGGAAGTGAGTTAGGAGAGAATAAAGGAGGGAGGTAGGGAGGGAAGGAGGGAGGGAAGGAGGAAGGGAGAGAAGAAAGGACCTTGAGGCAAACCTCTAAAAGAACCCTGGTCTGGTTCTGAAGATCATTTTTTAAATAGTGTCTAAGTATATTTCTCACTTTACTTGAAACACTTTCTTGGAGTCTTAAAATTCTTAAAGCCTATCAATGCATTATTGGGCAGATTCCTTTATTCAACTAGAACTTCTCCAAGTCCCAAAAGTGAGATAAGAGGAGGGAAAGGAGAAAAACTAACAGTTATTCTGTGCTACTCTGGCCTGAGCAGCATGGCATGGATTATGATCCCCACTTATAGATAAGGGAATTGAAGCTCAGGGTGTGTGATGAAGCCAGTCTTTCTTTGACACAGTCTTTTAAAACATAATCCTGGGGGTTCCACTTCCAGAATGGCAATGTAAAGACACTTCATGGACCCTATCCCAAGCCAAACAAACACAACCGTATATATACTAGTATGTGTGTGTGTGTGTGTGTGTGTATATATATATATATATACCATTTGCAGTGGTTCTCATCCTTCTGGCCCTTTAAATACAGTTCCTCACGTTGTGACCCAACCATAAAATTATTTTCGTTGCAACTTCATAACTGTAATGTTGCTACTGTTATGAATCGTAACGTAAATATCTGATATGCAGGATGGTCTTAGGCGACCCCTGTGAAAGGGTCATTCGATCGCCAAAGGGGTTGTGACCCACAGGTTGAGAACCGCTGATTTAGAGTCTCTGGAAATTGTTTCAAAAACATACAGAAGATGAAGAAATATTTCTTTAAGAAAATGTACGAAAACATGTAAGAACAGAGAGAATCTAGGGCTCTGGGGCCATGACATGTTCCCTCCCTCCCTTTTCTCCCTAGCTCAGCTGGAAAGAAACTGCACTCTAGGTGGGTGTGCCCCAGAGGATGGGACTCTGCTTCTCCCCAGCTCCCAGCTCCCATCATGGGATATAGTAACTTACCTAAAGGAGCAGGCCAGTAACATTTCTGATTCCTTCTAACTCCAAGGTGCAGAGGTTAAATTTCTGGTGGGTATGTGGCTGAGATGTCAGGGGTTCCCTTTGTCCATCCAGCCCCCATTCATAAACCAGAGGCTCTATCCCACTGTGGCCAGCTAGGAACAGTGAGGCCCTTGCGGCCCTCATCCAACTTAACTATAGGGATGAGGGTCTGTGCCCAGAAAGCAAGCTGAGAAGATGATTAGACCAGGGATGAGGCTACCATCCCTGCACAGTGGTTCAAAGTCCTTGCCAAAAGGGAGAGTCAGTTCTTAAGTACAGAGAGCTCTAAAGCTCTATCCCAAGAAACAGATTTTATTTGAAACTAGAGGCCTGGTGCACAAAATTCATGCATGGGGGTTGAGGGGGTCCCTCAGTCCAGCCTGTACCTTCTCCAATCCGGGACCCCTT